TGCTGCAACATCTTCAGTATCATCATTGGTGTCATAATCATAAGCTAGTATTATCATCATCATCAGCAGCAGCAACATCATCAACGACCGGCATCGTGCTGCAACATCTTCAGCTTGATAAAGCTTTGAAAACATGACAACGCTTGACGTCATTTAAGCTAACGTCGAAACGTCGGCATATTCCTTAATCGCTAAATTAAATATTTAATTAATTCTTTATGTCATTATTTTTATCATCATCGTCAGTATGTAATAAGTATAAGCAGCATCATCATCATCATCATTACATTCATGCAACTAGTAGACTGCTTCACAGAAACCCGCCGCTCCTCATAATAAGACATTAGAGCCGGACGTTTAGCATCAGGTTTACCGCTAACCGCTAGAGATCAGGCCCAGAAACACGCCCGCAAACACGGAGGAAACTTGAAACACTCCGCATCAATGAAATTCAATTTGGCGACTCTTCTAGCAACAACTTCGTTATGACGCCTTGCTAAATGTCGAAAGTTTGAAGGAAAACGCCTGACATCGAACTGCAGTTTGGGGTTTGCGGTACCTAGCAAGAACGTCGTGCTAAAGGTGTCTAATAATAAGACACTGATAAGACCCTGAAACATGGGCTATGAAGCAGCCTATTCTCTACTTTCACATCCCCATAATGCCTTGCGTCTTTGGGGGTAACCAATCAAAAATTTTCCCAAATTGAAAGGTTTCTTAATTGAATTTATACTATACCTGCTTTTATCTGTACAATACTGATTATCAGTTTATTCCAAGTTATTTTTGCGTGTACAGATCATCAAGAGTTTTGGTCTTACAGAAAATGTATTGACTTACAAAAAGATGTTTAAAATCTACCTTAAATGTCTTCAAGCTTCTATCTTTTTCTGGTTTTTACCTCTTCATTTTATTTTTGGATACCAAACAAGGTATTGTCAACATTGTCTGATGAGTCTTCAGCAAAATAAGCGGGTTTTTACCCTCTGGTTACCCCCCAGACGCAAAGTATTATGGGGATGTGAAAGTAGAGAATGCATGTAACTAGCTAACTAGTCCATGATTGTTGTCATCGTTAGCATTATTATTTTTAATTGATCTTATATTATTAGTGTTTCTTGGTTATACACATTTGCAAAGTACGCAATTTCCATCAAGGAAATTTAGTCAAAACCTTAGAATCTATAGGATAAATACTGAGTTCTAAGACTTTTATAATTAATTATTATTTTATATGCTTTGTATAAAGTCATTTGCATTAACTTACTTTTTACTATTTTTACATTTTGAGTATTAATGTGTAAATTCTACAATAGTGCGAAAAATAATGAAAATTTCCCGATTAACGGTTACGATTAAGATTTTCCCGATTACGGTATTTTTTACTGTATATACATGTTATTTTTATGATTTTCTCCACCCCTCAATCTCCATCCCTATCGATTGAATATCTACTGTATTGACTACCTGTATATCACATTTGTTGGTGACATCGGAAGAGGTCCTCCCAGATCGAATTGGAACTTGTCCGGTCAAGAGAGATTTTGATCAAAAGATTATTTCAAAAAACTTCGTAACTACTGACATGGATGGATGAACCATAAAATCCGAGTTTTACTACAAGAGATATTTATATTGTTTGCTTTGCTTCACTAGCCTTAAAAAAAGTATAGGAACTAGCCTCAGCTCAAGCCTTTTTTGACAGTTGGTCTTCACCTTCCAAAGCAGCATTCGTCTGTGCCATTTCTGTTCCAGGCCCCGGAGAGATATCAAGAGAATTCTTCTCCTTTCGATAGTGAATGATCTCAGAAGCAAAGTATCCCATCATGCCTTGGAGAAGGACGGTCAACAGGATGTACAGCTTCACGCTGATGCCCAGATAGTTGCCGTATGCAAAGGCAACAACGAAACCAAGAGATTCCCAAAGACGGTAGTTGGAGAAAGCAGGTTCTTGGTTGTCAGGGAAATAGCAGCCATAGAGAGCTATAAATGAACAGAGTTACATCATCAGTGTTCAGATCGATCTTAGGCCACATTTCCATGAAGAGGGGCTACCCTAGCTAGGTTTATGTACTTATTGACTGAGTGGGAGGGCCGTACGGGAAAATATTTGGCTCGAGGTGATGCCGTACGGACCGAGCGCAGCGAGGTCCGTACAAATGACCGAGAGCCAAATATTTTCCCGTACGGCCCGACCTAACTCAGGCAATAAGCATTTTATCATATGACCCTCACGAAAAAATCAATAAAAAAATAAAAGAAAGAAAGAAATAGTAAATAAAAGCTAAAAAAGAGAAAGCGCGCGGATTCGAGCAGGGCCGGACGGGTTTTTCCGGCCCGCTTACGTCAACCCGTCCGGCCCCCATCACGTGACTTTTTCCAATGGTTTTATTAGAGCGCGCGAGCAGGGCCGTACGGGTCATATGATAATAGCTCTTTTGTTTTGGATGTCCCTTGGGAAAGAAAACAAAAGACTCGTCCCAGGGTCACTCTATCATACTGTAAACATTTAACCCAGTGTAAGTAAATTGGAAGGACGACCATTAGCACCCTAACATAGCATAGCAATCGTGCTCAACTCGATATGCATGTACGTAAATTTACAGATGGAAATATTCGTTGTTGGTCTGCATGCAAGATGGCATCTTACAACCAGCATTCTAACGTACCATGGTACTTTGCAGCCAGCACCAACGCAACTATATTGTACAGAGAAGTACAAATACATACCGTTGATCTGGGTCTGCCAGATGGCATCGCAGAAGCCTTGCAAGGCTGCAAGTACGTAGAAAACCCAAACGTAATCACGGCTCGGCATCCAAACCAACATCGTGACGATTGCTGTTAGATGTACAAAGAATCCTGCCAAAAATATCGGGAATCTACCAGTGTACTGAGTGAGTTTACCAAGGATGAAAGAAAATGCAGCATCTGTTACGCCAAAGCAGATCATGACCAATCCCACACGGTGAATTCCGATGGAACATGTAACAAATGCCTGCAACAACAACAAAAAAAAAGACGTGAAAAAATTAATCAAAAATCATTTATCAACGTGTTGTAATTGCTTTGGCTTCCCATGCTGAAGTTCTGCACACTTCGAATTATTCGTGGGCTTGCTGCGATATTGCGATAAGGTGTGGAGTAGTGTGGTGTGGAGTAGTGTGGTGTGGAGTAGTGTGGTGTGGAGTAGTGTGGTGTGGAGTAGTGTGGTGTGGTGTAGTGTGGCATGGTGTAGTGTAGTGTGGTACGGCGTAACGTGGCATAGCATAGTGTAGAGTTGTGTTATGTGGTATAGAGATGTGTGACGTAGCATGGTGTAGAGTGGTTTAGTGTGGTGTGGTGAGGTGTTGCGTGGCATAGTGTGGTGTGGCACGATGTGGTGCGCATGGCATGGCATAGCATGGTGTGGAATGGCATGGCATAGCATGGTGTGGTGTGGTTAGATGTGGAGTGATATTTTGCTGTATGTTTTAAACTTACCGCCGTGAAGTCCCCAAAAACAAAAGCCTGTTCAAGCCCACTGTAAATTGTCAGTGGAACAATCAGCTTCATCCTGTGATCTTGCCACACGTGTTTCATGGTAGCAATCAGTAACTTCATTCCAGACACCTCATCTTTCTTTCTGCTCATGCTGCCAGTAAGTCTAAATGGCAACAATACATGTAGTCATGTATTAGTAATAAAAACGATCACGCCAATACGATCGTTGCTTAACGAGTACCAATGAAAATCACTGGCATAGACTTTAACTGTCCGGCACTCGCAAGCGTTGGGATAAATATAGATCTTTGTTTGGGTGCGCAATTATGGGAAAAGACTGCAGAGAAAAAGGTTCTGCTCTGTGCAGTTCTGGAGCAAAGGTCTATTGGTTTCCAGACCTGTTAAGATTGGTCAAAACAAACAATAGTTTTCATTGTTGACTCGTTCTACTGTTTTGTTTATATCGTTTCTCGTTCTATTGTATTCATCCAATTGGGTTAGATATTGTTAGAGCTGCGACCTTGCGTTGGTTTTAGGTGCATGGTATGCATAAGGAATAATTATAAGCTCACCTCTTCAAGAAAATCATGATAAAAACCACAGCAAAAGCTCCAATAGCCACATAGATACTCAACATAGTAATGACGAGTTTTTGTGGTGGTTTGTATGAAGCGTGAGTAGAATTGGTTTTGTTGACAGGGTCTTTTGGCATCGTGAAAAACTTTGCTCCGCACACTTCTGCAGCATTGGGCCGGAATGCGTCCTCGCCTGTAAAACATTAAATAAAAATATGTCCATTATTTAGTAGCTGGAGAGGGGAATTAGAAATAAAAGTTCGCCAAAGCGCATAGATAATCTTGGAACCTATACCATTTATTTGATAATCGCGCCAATAGAAAACAGTACGCATCAGTGTACCGTCACATCGAACAGCAATTTTTCGCGCAGTGGATTTAATGGTGAATGTTATTAATTCCTCGTACCGTAACGGTGTCATACTAATGCAGTTTTCGTATGACTGTGAAAAGCTCGCGGCGCGAACACGCCCAAGGCATACGCCAGACCAATCACGTTGCACGAGAATTTACTCTCCTTCCAATCGAATGTCCAAAACACGGCGCGGACACGGTCAAGGTCACGGCACTACCAGAGCAAACACATCGCAAGAAAACTCGCCAATCAAAATTCTAGAGAGTATTGCGGCAAGGCACGCATACGGCACCGACTTTATGCGAAAAGTAATACGAAATCTGCTCTATTAAGGATGTACCTAACCTCTTGCCAGTTAGTGGGTCTTGCTCGACCTCTGACGGGCATTACCAAACACCTAAAGCTTTTTTATTTTTGTTTATTATTATTATTTTAATTGCATTTTACCTTCTCCAGTTTTCAGTACCATTGACGAAATGAGGTTGCCCCAAATCTGGCCACTCTGGAATATCAAGAAGAAAATCCCAAAAAACCTGGTGACGACAGCTTCTTGTGTTTCTTTGTTCAATTCACAGTATCGTATTGCTGATGTGGTTAGATACGCACACTTTGACGACCACAAGGGAGCTGCTGATAGGCCTGCAAGAAAATATCTGAAGGTAAAATACAACTGCAAAAGGAAATTCACCGGTTTGGTTTGTTGGTTCGTTGTAAGAACACGAGGCGTAGCCGAGTACTTCTCTTGCTTCTTGAGTGCTCTACAGCTCCCATCGTGTTTATATCACAGTATATAGACAAAAGCAGCCGTTTTATATCGCTTTTATAAAATATTTTTGAACGATTTTGGGCTAGCGTGTCTCTGTCCTCTGATATAAACATGGTAGCCAGCCAATAAGCGCGCATGTTTTATCTCAAATATTTTATAATGCAGAATAAAACACGATTCCCCGCACATGTTGGAAATAATCCTGGGTACCCAACCTGCTGCAACGTGTAATGGATAGCGCACTTTGGTGATGATGAAGCAAATTAAAATACTGGTGCGTGAATGATGGAGGGTATCACAAAGCAAAAACGAAATAGTAAGTCAAATGTATAATAATATGACTTACCAACCAAGAAAGAGGCCGGTATCAGTGTCCACCACTGAACGTAGTAATTTGCCACAGTATACAACACATAGCTTATCATGGACACGACTAAAGCCCATTTACATCCCAAACGACCAATCAAGTAGGGTGGCACGAACATGCAAGAGACGATTAACGATGCGTAAATGACTGACAGGGAGGCCAAGCCACGCCCCTCGTCCACATTCAAACTACTCTGCAGATTTTGCAGGGACTGGAAAGCGGTGAAAAGAAACAGGAAGCCCATGCTGATGGTGAGAACGTTCTTTAGGATGGCAATTTTTTCTCGACGTTTCTGAGCAGGTGTCATCATGCTGACGTCGAGTGTTTTAGCGTTCTGGCTATCGATTACTGTTGGCTTGGTGTTTTCTGGTAAAGCGAAACCATTTTCTATTTTACCGTTCTCGACTCTGTGCTCCATCTTGTTCGAGATCAAGAAACTTTGGAAAAAAAAGCACGAAAAGATTAGTATTCAAGTGAACTTTTGTGCACTGATTGAGGCAGCTATACATACTTCATCTTAGGTCGTATATCGAAGGAAGGCAGAGCGCGGGATTCCTAGGGTGCAGCAGCAAGTCCTAGGGGAGGAAGGAACGCTTTGTTTAGGTTAGTGAGCTGTAGTGACCCATTCCAGGAAAATCCTGGATAAAAAATCCTGCCTTATTTATTTAATGATAATATAGTAACATTTATTTATTTATAAGAAAAACATCTTTAAATTTTATCTAACCCTGAAACAACCGCAGTCTGGGCTGGTCAAAGTCAGGGCATGGTTAACTCGTACATGGAATCTCGAAACAACATCTTAGCTGACCGTGACAGCCAACTCAAGGCTCTAGTAAACTTGACGCAACGCGTTGCGAGAAAAGTTTCACGTGGTTGTCAAAACTTTTATCGCGACAGAAGTTTCGGTTGCACGAGTAGATATGTCGCGATAACAAATCCTACGACCGAGAAGCGAGAGAACCAATTTTAAAACCCCCTTCGAATACAACGACGGTGCGGATGTTAATTCATGTAGTATTGATGCCGGGTCATGCCAGAGTAGTTCACTCGTAGTTTAATATTGCAATGACTTTAATAGTTACACTGGAGTGATTTTCCTCAGACCGTAAAATATTTCGTAGACTAATTGCGTGGTGTCACTTGACGTCATTCCCTTTCTATTGTAGAATGTTTATCAAATCGCAAGTTTTCAATAGAATTCTTTCTGGCTGACAGCACATGGTGGTCAGTGTTTGAACACCACTTGAAGGAGATGAGATTCATTTGTGTCTACTTTTGTGTCTAGATTTCAATCACCTGATAAATGTCTTTGAATCTCATTGTCTGCTCCAAATGGTGGTCAAACACCGACTACGATGCTGTCAAACAGAAAGAATTCTGTCAAAAACTTGTGATTCAGCTGGTGAACATTCCAAACAAGACAGGAAATGACGTCAAATGAAATAGAAGCTGTAGGGAAAATCATTTTATAATGTACATAATAGGCCGTTAATAAGAAAATTTATTTTCCATAAATTCGATGAACAAAACAGGATGCAGCATCTGTTGCGGATTTTATAGCTAAAAATTGAAAAATTAAGGAATAGACCCCTTCACGGTTCCCTGCGCCATCTTGAAAGGTAGCCGGGCCTTTGCAACGAAGCGAGACGAACGGTGAGCTTGCAATGATAGGGACCTATGAATAATTGTCCAAGGTGTTTAAAAAGGTCTCTGTCATTGCAAGCTCAACTTTCGTCTTGCTTCGATGCAAAGGCACGGCTACCTTTCAAGATGGCGCAGGGTACTGTGAAGGGGACTATTAAGACTTTAAGGTGTTTAGCAACAACTGCTGATATTCTGAGTATTTGGTGTGTTTAAGCCCGTTGCTCATCAGGATCATTTTGAATATTTTTATACGATATCTAAAAACTCCTTGACTCAAAAATCTAAAATATTTATAACTTTCCAAGTTCAACGGAACTCGTTTTCCTTTCTAAAAAATAATTTCCTTAAGTCGTAAAAAAACATTTTGAGAGAAAAAAAAGGAGAGAAAAAAGTATTAGACGTTTTGACAATAAGAATGACGACATTCTCTCATTTCTCAATAGAAAAACAAATGTCAACAACTTTGCTGATGGCATATTTAGTAGGTTAAAGCTCTAAAGTTTGCAAATCACAGGTTCAATATTGCACAGTATTTAATTTGAATAAGAATGGACGTTGGCTGCCTGCCAGAAAACTTGACATGACATCTTGTCTTTGAACATCAACGATGTAGCTAATAACTAGTTAATTTGTATTCAAAATTATAGAAGTTTTGGCCTCTGTTTTTCTCTTCTCTTCTATTCTGTTCTGTTCTCTTCTTTTATGACTATTTTTGGAATGTTTCCCAATATGTAAAGAGCCAGTCATTCTTATCAAACGATGTGCAGCGTGACGCCAAGCTTGAAGTGAAGCGAGCAACCTTATTCTCAATCTCTAATTTACTTTAATTTTCTTCACTTCACTCTGTTTTTTTAAGCATCTTCAATTAAAACAAGTTAAGTACAAGATGGTTTTACTTGTAAGTGTATAGCAAGCGAGATAGACTTTATTAACTCTAAGCTCCGCTAATTATTTCCAGTACCTTCCAAAGGCGAGATTAATACTAAGTACAAATAACCTTGAGGGATATAACGGCGACAACATCCACGACCGGAACTCGGAGATCAGTGTTCATAAATAAAAGACATATATAAAAGATACATGGGAAAAAAATTGTCGTTGAAGGCACAGACTAAGAAGACTAAGACTTCAAATAAAATACTAAGTATAAAAAACTCTATCCATGGTTACAAACGTCTCTCTGGGATTATTTCTACATCGAAGAGAATTTTTTAATATATGGCCAAATGATGACGTCATTGTACGAAAGGTCAAATTTTTCCCATTACACACCGCCCGACCTCAAAATTTAAAACCAAATTTTAAAAATAAATCGTGTTTGATTTCTTTGATATTATGTTTTGTAGAACTTACGATCCGCGGATGTTTTTTTTGGCCATTTCCCCGCTGTGTAGATCATACTAATGAACGAAAAAGGAAATACAAATCTGAAAAGACTGTTGACTTTACACGCGCTCCAAACCTATCATCATACCTCCGCAAAAAGGCCTATTCAATTCTCAGACATGTCTGCAAATAAAACCTGGTGCTTGTCAGTCAAACTGATGGGAAATCGCTTAACTAGCCGCGTGGAATTCCAATGAGGATAAATGCGTAGCCCTAGAGCACTGTGACTGGATGAAGCAAGGGGGCGTCCACGGGGGCGGTCGATCGGTTCGCCCGGAGAATGTAAACACACAAAGAGAAGCTTATTTCTTTCTAATTAAATTGTAAACCTTTTTACACTTTAAGGGAATGGGTTTTAAAGACCAGTGTTTTGTGGTGATATGAGGATTACTTAATTATACTTATTCTGTTGAGTAGAATTAGTTTGAAAATATTGACATTATTTAGAGTAAAAACAGGAGGTTTTCTTCGCTTGGTCGTATGGTTTTCAGGAGGACACTATTTTAATATACGCAGAAAAAATGGAACAATAAGTCGTCTTTGCTTCGTTTTTTTTCGTTGTCTGTCGCATAGAAATCATTTCTAAACCCTTTTTCGTACGATTCAGACTTTTCCATCGCCGAGGGAAGCGAATACCGAGAACAACCACGTCGACAATCGCTCCGACCTTGGCAACAAAATGTTCTCTTTTTTGTCATCGATATCCCGAGTGATCTTTGTTCTCCCGCTGTTCTGTTACAGCAAACTGACTCTCAAAGGAAAACAAAATACGAAACTTATCTTTCTACGAGGTAGAACGGCATGCTACAGAGAGCAAGGGGCCTTCAGGGACGAGCCACGAATCACTAAATACTTACTTCATGCACTCGTAAAACTAACACACCGACTTATTGCCCAACGCGACAAAACAAGAGATCCACTAAATAATTTGCCCCCTGTGTTCATTTTGTGATCATCGTCGATTGGTTAGCGACTCTTGCACTAGAAAGAAGTCCCACTTAGCTTTGCAACTGGCAACTCAATGCAATGGAAAAGATACCATTCTAGCGGTGAATGGTTCAATGACCTCACCAAGAAGCGCAGATGTAGAGTATAGCTACGCGAACAAAACCAGATACCAAATTTTCAACGTACGAATCACGAAGAATCTTTTCTAGTCATTTTCGGGCTGAAATTCGAAAGTTCGAAAGTTCAGCGAKAACTTTTAAAAATGTTGTTTTACGTTTTTTACATTTATACTATCATTTTAATTTGTTTAAAATAAGAATCTTTTCATCCGTAAAATGCCATTTCTAAACAAAAGTAAAACTCAAAACGAAAAAGCAATATCTCTTTTTAAAGATGTTGAACCAATCTTAAGTTGGAGCACCAAACAGCACGCAACAGCGACAAAGCTTCTACTGTACTTTCGCGCTTTAAGTTTGTGGTGAAGCCTAGAGATCGCGTGGCGAAATCTCGATCGAAGGTTTCGTACATCATTGGTAGAGCAAACAAAATACGTATCTGTACTACATTAATATACCTAGTGGTGGCTCTTACAAACTTGACTAGAAAGAAAACTTACCTTGATGGTTTAGCCAAGTGAAAACAAGTTAGGGTAATCTATTGGACAAGAACGCTGGATATATAGTGGTTGTAGAAATGACCGGGCGCACTTAGCGTCGATGAAAGGAGATACTGAATGGCTTCGCTTCTATAGAGACAGCGGTAAATCCATTGAAGCAGCTCAGTACACGTGATTGACATATTGAAGGAGACCGGTCACGACAGTTTGTGTTGGGAAGAAATGGATGTGTGGAACTGTAAACCTTGGTTGAATTTTACTTGCTAACTTTTTTTCTTCAGTTTTCTGTTCTGTTCTGTTCTGTTCTGTTCTGTTCTGTTCTGTTCTGTTCTG